AAAACATCCATTGTTCTGCCTTCTGGGATTACAGTGCCTTTTCAAGGAAGGACCACATTGACTGGACAGCACTAAATATTTTGGAAAGGAACTCTGAGAGGCTCTGAGAGTGACTGGTTCACAGAACATGCTGGGTTTGCTGTGTCTCACAATGCAGAAGTATACATAATCTTTCTCATATGATCCTCATAGCAACCCTGTGACATAGGTGCTATTATTCTCCCCATTTTCCAGATGGGCAAATGAAGACTGAGAAATATTGAGTGACTTACCTAGAATCATAAAGTCAGTAAGTACAGCATTGTGCCTGGGTTTTTTTACTTTAAATCAAGCTTACTATCTAACATGGTACCAACTCATGAGACTTTGAATGGTTCTTTTTGTTATTTCTTTAAGTTTTTCTTATATGGGTTGTATATGACCTGGGAGGGACTCTAGCTTAGAGTTTACACAATTGCGTGCATGTGTGTGTGCAGCAAGCACACACACACACACACACACACACATACACACACAAACATGCACACTCTTTTCAGTAGTCACATCTCATGCCAGCCACCTAGAATTGCATGATGTTTATCATAAAAAGAATGGGCAAAGGAAGTGTTAGTAACGGATACTACAAAACAAACAAAGAGTCCTACAAATGAATGCCCTGCTGATGGCAGGTCAAGAACAACATCTGTGGAGAGTATATTTTAGCAGATCAACACTTTGTAGATCTCATCTCAGTATAAAACCTGTTCAGATAATGCTAATCTGTGATCACAGCCCAACTTCTGCTCCATTAAGGAGATATTTTTATGAAGCTACCTTTGGTTATAACTAATTGAGAGTGTTTTTGTATTGCGTCTGATGGTTTTTACCACAGCTTCACAGATAAATTTCCTTTTTTGCTGTCATTCAGTCATTTCAGTTGTGTCCAATTCTTCACGACCCCCTTTTAGAGTTTTCTTGGCCAAGATACTAGAGTAGTTTTTGCCATTTCTTTTGCGTTTTACAGATGAAGGAACTGAGGCAAGCAGGATTAAATGACTTGCGCATCAACACACAGCTAGTAAGTGTCTGAGGCACAATTTGAACTCAGGTCTTCCTGACTCCAAGCTCAATGCTCTATCCACTGTGTCATCTAGCATATTTCCTTAGGCCCTGCAGTATTTTACCTGGTTGCCTTTAGTGTGGTGGCTAACTTCTCCCCATTGTAGAAAATGGGAATATAAAGTAATGAACATGAGAAAAGGACCTTTGAGATCAACTATTCCAACCCTTTCATTTTAACAAACAGTTTAAAGTGAATTCTATTTGCCCAACATTATGGGAAGAGCTGGAGATACAAAGAAAAGCAAAACAAAAAGAAAACCCCACCAAACAACTGGAGTCCCTGCCCTCAAGGAGCTTCCTGTCTAACATGGAAGACTACATGCAGACAACTAGGTACAAACAAGATTATACAGAATAAAATAGAGATAATCACATCAGAAAGGCATTCAAGGGGATTGGGAAAGGCTTCTTGTAGAAGGTAGGATTTTTGCTGGCCTTTGAAGGAAGACAGGGAAGTCAGGGATTTGAAATGACTTGTCCAATGTCACAGAGCTAGCCAGAGTATCCCTGTCTGAAAATTGTAGTGATTATAAGTGCTCGTTTGTGAAGAAGAAACATCTGGGTGAGAGATTACAGCTATCCCTTCCATATTGTGGGGGGCACAGCATGTTCCCTTCTAACCCCCCTCCCCCAGTAATCTGGAAAATCAACATAAAATACTTCAGCTCTCCCTTCATACCAGAGAAGAAGTCTGAATTTTTTCTTTTTTCTTTTATGGGGTGTTTACAGTACCCTATGGTAAAATTTGGGTTAAGTATTTGGTCATAGCTCTGTATTAAATGCTAGCCTTTGAATGTTGTGTGTGGCTTTTGTAAAACTCCCCAAAAATTCCAATTTAATTTCCATGCCAACCGGCGATATATCAAAACCACGCTGTGGAAAGTGGCAATGTGGAAGGCATAACTGTAGTTGAAGCTACTGAATAATTGAGACAGTAAAGTTGGTGCAGAGGAGAGAGTCAAGTCAAAATGCTGAGTGAGTAGGGGAGAGCTACTTAATGAGTCAGGGGGTCAGTGTGATCAGGTGGAACTTGAAGTTATATTAATAATACTTTAAATTGATGTAAAGCTTTACTATCTATAACATACTTGGACCTACTTTTTCTTGTGACAACTAGCAAGAGCTTTCTATTTCTTCGGTGTCATTGTGCTCTTATAGTACTTTGTTCTACTACCTGCCCAGGCTTTCTTCAAGTCCAAACTAAAATCCTACCTTCTATAGGAAGCCTTTCCCAATCCCTCCTAATTACAGTCCCTTTCCTCTCAACTATTTCCTATTTATCCTGTATGTAGCTTGTATAAATATGTTTGTTTATTGTCTCCCTCATTAGATTGTAAACTCCTTGAGGGGAGGGACTGTCTTTTGCCTCTTTATGTATCCCGGGTGCTTAGCGCAGTGCCTGGCACACGATAGGCACTTAATAAAAGTTTTTCCATTCCATTCCATTTTTCTCTGTTTCTTGTGTACAGCTTTGGCTGCTGAAGCTTTGCAGTAAGCAGTCAGAGGCTGTGACGTTGTTGTGTTACTCTAGGTATCTGAATATCCTCTGTAGTTAGGCCCTGGACTGCTTCAGACCCAGGACATAGAGTGCACATGTACATCAAAGTGGTGATATGTTTTTGTTGTTCTTGTTTCTAAATTTTTTTTTTTAATTTTAGACTTAAATACTAAAGCTTAAATACATAGTAAGAAAAGAAAAAGAAACATTAAATAAGAAACTTAAGGATTAAAACTTAAATACAAAATAAGAACAGAAAAACAGCATTGTCGTGTGCACAGCAGAATGTAAGAGAGGATTCAAAATACACAGCAATAAATTTCCATTTCAAAAAAGCCTGCATAATAAATACTGTGCATTGTGTTGAGAGCTGTCCATCTTTTCTTTGCTCCTTTGTAAGTTGTCTTTTGTTCTTTGCTGTTACACTTGTGCTTATTTTTTTTTTTTTTAATTCAACTGAGAACCACATACCTGATCCTCCAAAACTGAACTTAGGCCCCTAGTAGTGGGACTTTTATGTAATGCCTTGTCCTGGAAACAGAGTCTCTAGTTTTTGGCCAACATAAATAAAGAGTTTTTGGCCAATATAAATAAAGAATTAGCTTACCTTTTATCTTTATTTTTTTTTCCCCCACAAAATTAGGAAGGATCTTTTTTCTTTTTTTTTTTAAATTAGGAAGCATCTTGAGATATATGCCAATTCATATACAATGTCCTAAAAGTCTTAGTGCATAGCTAAATGATTAAAGTTTAATTTTAAGCTGTTAAATCTTAAAACTGCACTAAGATTTTGGGGGCATTCTATATATGAATACCTATATGCTTCTTTCTGATTGTCTATAAAACTGTTCTCTATTCATGGGGCAGCTAGGTGGTACAGGGGATGGAGCATTAGGCTTAGAGTAAGGAAGATCTGAGTTCAAATCCAGTACTACCTGCGAAGCCCCAGGCAAGTTACTTAACCCCTATTTGCCTCAGTTCCTCATCTATAAATTAGGAACACACTGGAGAAGGAAATGGCAAACTACTCCAGTATCTTTGCTAAGAAAACCCCATGGACAAAAGTTCATGGGGTCATATAGTCATGCACGACTGAACAATTGAACGATAACTGATGACTTGGATTCACACAAAATTCAATAAACCTTTATTAATTCAGAATTATTGTAGGGAAAAAAGGGCATAAATTAATGTAAAGTCTGGATTAAAAACTATTTTTAAAGATGGTTTCATTGCTTTCTAGTCACTGAGCTGAAACCTAGATTCTTGTCCCTCTCACTTCTGGCTTACCTAGCTAAATGATTTTGGGCTTTATGAGGCTCTGGTCCTCAGTTACCCTATCTATAAAATTAGGGGATTGGACTAGTGATTCAATTCACCAAGCATTTATTTAGTGCCTACAGTGTGCAAGGCACTGTACTAAGCCCTGGGGACGCAGAGAAGAAAAAAACAAACAAACCAGATAAGCCCTACCTCTAAGGACTTAGATTCTACTCATTTATTCTCAGAGGCCTCTTCCAGTGCTAATGTCTATGAATAATCACTTGAAATCATCCCATAAAAGATTGCCTAACAAACCCGAGTCCCCTTTTAAAAAATAGATGACTCATATTTATGAGCCCATTAACGGTTTTTTTAATCAAATAGGTTTTTCATCAAATGGTTGAAGTACTTAAATGATTGGTTTTCTTAATTGAATCAAGCTTGTCCCTTGAAAGCTTTTTCATCTTTTCATACCTAATTTGCTTAGGCAGTCATTTCTTCACTCATAGTGTACTTTAACTCATCCCTGGGTGAACTTCAGCTGCTGTTGATATGTTTGCTATCTTTGATGTAGGGAACTTGGTGAGGAAGCTTCTTGTACCCATGCAGTTCAGTGACTATTTTACCACTTACAGTCTTAGAAAGTGGTCCAGAGCTCTGAAAGGTTAAGTCATAGGCCAAGGGTCATACTTCCAGTATGTACCTGAAGCAAAAATTGAGGGCAGGTCTTCATGACCAGCTCTCTATCACAATATGCCATGCATCTCAGAGGAATTATTTTTTTTTAAATAATATTTTTATGATATCTCTTACAATTTACTATCCAATGGTGAAAATGCTATTTTTGTTTTACTTAAATTTTTTTTTTAATTAGGGCAATAGCTTAACTCAGCTATGAAGAGAGACAGTTATTTTTTAAATTATTTTATTTTTAATTAATGGGATAAAACAATCATTTCTGTAACATAGTATAATAAAAGCAAATGATTGCACATGAAACTGAAATCTATTATATACAGCTTGCTATTCCAATTACATATATAATTAATTTTTTTTTCTTTTTAAATTGTTTTTTCTCTCCCTCCTGCCCCCGAGATGGATACCATTATTTTACAGCCTCCCATGTGTACTTTAAAAAAAAAAAACGCAACATTTCACGAATTGGTGTGTCCTCCTTGTGCAGGGGACATGCTAATCATCTCTGTATCGTTCCAATTTTAGGATATGTGCTGCCGAAGCAAGTACCCATGTGTACTTTTAGAAATGGCATGATTTTAAAATGTCATCCTACCCCTTTTAAAAAAGACAAGAAAAAAATCTACTCATTTTTAGCAAATACATTATCTGATAGGTTGTTTGAAGTTCATCAGATGGACTCAGTGGAATGGTTGGGGTTAAATTGCTGACATGTCACTCTAGGACTTACACAACTATTCTAACCTAGCCAAGAAATAAGTCATCGTTTAAACTTAATTAAACACTCCAAAGATTTTTAAAAAATCTTTTGCTACAATTGTCCACTCAACCTTTTCAAATGCTTACAATTGGCCCTATTATGGATAACCCTCCTGGTATGGGTCCAATAAAATCACAACTCAATGAACCAAGAAGCACATTGCAAGAGCCATAAGATTCCTGACCTTGAAGTCAAGGTTAAGCTATTAATCACTATGGCCTGAGACTGAGATGTTGTGTACTGGAGAACATTAGTCCTCGGTCTGTGTAAACTGAAATTTTTTCAGAAATATGAGGTGTTCAGTTAAAAGCACAATTCAGTGTTCTTTATTCCCATGACATTAGGCTAAAGTGCTCATGGAGAAATGGGAGGCTCAGAAAGTTTCTGTCTTCAACCCCACCCACCACTTACCAGTGGAAACATCACTGAATTTGAACAAAAAAAGTTGGTTTGAGACCCATTCCTGCTATTTACTACTTGTAACCTTGGGCAAATCATTTAGCTCCTTGTGGTTTTGGTTTATGCTTCAGAACAAGGACAAATGAGGGATTTGGATTAGATCAATCAATTATTAAGGGTTTTTTTGGTTTGTTTTAAAAAATTAATACAAGCATTTATCATCTCTTCCTCATGCTATCTGCCTTCACTGAATGATTATGTAAAATGAAAAATAAAACCCTCATAACAAACACACAAAGTCCACTAAAATAAATTTCTCCATTAACCATATCCAAAAATGCCTATCTCCTCTTGCATCTTAATTCTGTCACTTCTCCGGCAGGAGATAGAATGTCTTTTTTCAAGGAACAGTCACAAGTTCAGTGTCATTGAATCTCCTTTCTTGGAGGGACATAAGGTGCGAGAAGACTAGAAAGGCAGGAAGGGGCCAGATTTTAAGTGGCTTTAAAAGCCAAACAGAGGATTTTATATTTGATCCTGAAGGCAATAGGTAGCCACTAGAGTTTATTGAATAGGAGAAATATATCCAGACTAGGAATGAATTAGCTTAAGCACAGTTTTATCTTAAAGTAGGCTTTTAGAGACGTTTGTTGTTGTTCAGTCATTTTCAGTTGTGTCCTATGCTTGGCGAAGATACTGGAATGGTTTTCCATTTCCCTCTCCAGCTCATTTTACAGATGAAACTGAGGCAAACAGGGTTAAGCGTGACTTGCCCAGGGTCACACAGCTAGTAAGCGTCTGAGGCCAGATTTGGATTCAGGGAGCTGAGTTTTCCTGATTCCAACCTCTTCCTTTATCTACTGCACCACCTAGCTGCCCCCTATATTGCATTTTTTAAAGAAAGAAATCAGGTATACAGAAATGCAAAATAGATTTTAAAGAAATAGAGATAAGCTTTGGAAAAGATAAAGGTTCTCCCTGAAGGAAGAGGGTAGAGGAGGAGTGTCACTATTGTCATTCTTGGCAAATGAAAATAGTTCTAGTTTTTCTGTATTGCTTTACGAGGCCCTGCACACTTCATCTGTAGATATTTCTCATCTCATTCCCTGCTGGGGCAGTGACTGCAACAGTAACCACAACTTGGGAGAGAGTTAATCAATACTTAGTAAGTGCTTACTATGTGTCTGGTGCACTGCTAGGTCCTGAGACACAAGTCCTGCACACATGTGGCCCATTAGCCCTCTTGCCTCTAAAACCCTTCATGATTAGAGGCAGTATCAAGGGCCTCAGCAACCCCTTTGCCTCCACATACACCATTTGGCTTCCGTCTCTGTGATTCAATCAATTAATCAGTGAACATTTATATAAACTATGTTCCAGTCACTGTGCTAAGCACTGGGTATATACAAAGAAACAAAAGACAGTCCCTACCCTCAAGGAACTTGCAATCTAATGAGAGAAACAAATATATACCAATATATATATCAAGTAAGCTAAATAATTAGTTGAGGGAAGGCACTAGAATTAAGTGAAGTTGGGGTAAGCTTCTAGTAAAAGATGGAATTTTAGTTGGGTCTTAAAGGAAGACAGACTGGTCAGTAGTTGGAGCAGAGGAAGGAGAGTATTCTCGGCTTGGGGGACAGCCAGAGGAAATGCCTGGAACTGAGAGACAGAGTGTGTTGTTCATGGAACAGCCAGGAGGCCAGTGTCATTGAATCCAAGAGTGCACGTTAGGGAGTAAAGCGTAAGATTGGCAAGATAGAAGATGGACGGATTATAAAGGACTCTGAACGCCAAACAAAGCGTTTGTAATCCTGGAGGTGCCACGTAGCCGATAGAGTTTATTGAATAGAGGTGTGACATGATCCAACCTGCATTTTAGGAAAATCACTTCAGTGGTTAAATGGAGGATGGATTGGAGTACAGAGAGACTTGAGGGACCCACCAGCAGATTGTTAGAATAGTCCAGGCGTGAGGTAATGAGGACCTGGACCAGAAAGGTGGCAGTGTCAGAGGAAAGAAGGGGGCTTGCTTAAGAGACATGGCAAAGGTGACTCAACAGACTTTGGTAACAGATTAGATACGGGAGGTGAGAGTGAGGAATCCAAAATGACTCCTAGGTTGTGAGTCTGAGGGACTAGGATGATGGTGTTGCCCTGTACAGCAATAGAAAAGGTAGGGGGGAGGAGGGCTTAGCAGGAAAGATAATGAGTTCTGTTTTGGATATTCAGTTATCTCTTCCACATGATGACTTTCCCCACTGCAGTTTCAATATATCGTGGGTCAGCATAAGAAATTAAATGGGAATTTGGGGGAAGTTTCATAGAAGCCGCAGATGATATGTGAAAGGCCAGCAGACAACACAGAAAGAGGTTAGAAAATCAGAAATGTACAAAATATATAATTTATTATAAATTATTATGTATAATATAATATCAACATATTTTATCTTTTAATACCATAAATATACCCAAATTTTACAATTAGGTACTGTAAACACCCCGTAACAGAAAAAGAAAAAGAAAAAAATTCAGACTTCTCTGGTACAAAGAGAGGTCCAAAATTTTTTACGCAGATTTTCCAGACAGTGAGAGCACTGAATCCCTAACCCCAGTGATGTGGAAAGGATAACTATGCTGAGTTTAAGATAGCTACTAGACATCTAATTTGAGATGTGTGATGGGAAGTCAGCAGAGAGTTTGGGTCAGGATAGGTGGATTTAAAAATTATAACATAGAGATGATAATTAAATCTGTGGGAGTTGATGAGATCTCCAAATGATATAGTATAGAGGGAAAAGAGAAGAGGACCCAGGATAGGAGCCTGAGGATACCTATGGTCAGAAGGCATAATCTGGATGAGGATCCAGCAAGGGAGACAGAGAAGGAACAGTCTGATAGGTAGGAGGAGAACCAGGAGGGAGTGGTGTCCTGAAAACCTACAGAGAAGAGAGTCTCAAGGAGAAGAGGGTGATCAACAGTGTCTAAGGTTACTGAGAGGTCAAAGAGAATGAGAACTGAGAAAAGGCCTTGGATTTGGCAACTAAGAGATTATTATTAGTAACTTTGGAGAGAGTAGTTTCGGTGGAATGATAAGGTCAGAAGCCAGACTGTAAGGAATTAAGAAGAAAGAAAGAAGAGAGAAAAGTGGAAGCACCTATCATAGATGGCCTTTTTGAGAAATTGAGTGACAAAGGGCATGAGGATGGAAGGATAAAGCAAAGCTTTCTTCAAAATGGAAGAGACACGGCATTCATTGCTACAGCCGTGTACTCTGAGGCCCTTGACCTTCCCTCTAATCTCTCATGCACTTTAAAAAACTTTTTTTAATGGTATTTTTTTCCCAATTTTATGTGAAGACAATTTTTAGCATTCATTTTTACAAGACTCTTATGTACTTCTTACCCTCATTCAATTTCCTACACTTTAGGATGCTCTTCCAGGGGTAATCACAGACATTAATAGTTCCATAGATCTTGGAGCAGAATAGGATTTTTGCCCCATCTTGGAGGCATCTCACTCAGCTGTATTCAACCCTTTCATATACATAAGTGTATATATAGCATGTAGTATATGTGTATATATGCACATATGTGTGTATACATATATATGTATATATACATAGACACACATCAACACAAGATAACACACACGCATCAAGATAATTTAGGGAGAAGCATTAGCAGCTGTGAGAATCAGAACAGACCTCAAGAAAGCAGGGCTTGAGTCAAGTTTTGAAGGAAACTAGAGATATGTAGAGGTTGAAGTGAGTGAAGAGTGCACTCTAGGCAAGAAGGTCAACCTGTGCATGGAGATGGGAAATGCAATGTCATGTGTGAGGAATAATAAGAAATCTAGTTTACCTGGAATGCAAAATATGAGAAGAGGATGAACAAAGTAGGAATGAAAGGTGGATTGGAGCCAGGTTATGAAGGACTTTAAATGCCAGACTAAGAAATTATTAGTAACTTTGGAGAGAGCAGTTTCAGTGGAATGATAAGGTCAGAAGCCAGATTGTAAGGGGTTAAGAAGAAAGAGAGAAGAGAGAAAAGTGTTTGTAGTGGGTCCTACAGGTAATAGGGAGCCACTGAATTTTGATGAGTGAGGGAGTGGCACAATCAGATTTATTCATCATTTAGGCAGCTGAGTGGAGGATCATCATTATCCACTTACGGACTGAGGATGGATTAGAGTGGGAAGGAATTTGAGGTAGGGAGCCCAACTAGGAAGCTATTGCAATACTATAGGCTTCCTAATCTATGAACCTATCACGACATGAAGTGAGGTATGGCCTATCAAATTTATGTGTATGGGGAGCCGCTGCTTTTAGGTGTCTGGGAAGATGAACATAGAGTGCAGTTGTTGGGGAAATGAGAAAGGTTTTGTCCTGG